TTATCTATAAACGATTGACTATCCCTATTTGCAAGGTTATTTAATAGCACCCTCGCTGTTAAACGAGGTACGCATTATATACATCTAATAGCACTAGCAGCCGGATTAACTGTATTAGTACTTTAATCGCTATTACTATATATAGCGATATCGACTAGGGAGTTATTATAACTTCTCCTGTCTATATCCTTAGCTCTTGCCTTAATACGCACTATTAATATAGCAAGAGTATTAATATACTTTAAGCCGTCGCGGAGTCCGGTAAGCCGCTTATCCTACGCGTACTTATTAACAATACGGGCTATAGCAATCTTATGCTACAGGGTTAGAAACAATGAATTAATGGATTGCTAAGTCCCGCTATCGTAATTAGGTCGCCTCGATAGGCTATTAGTAGGGTTGCTTACGCCTAGCCGATGTAATATATTAAAATCAAACCTAGCGAGGTAGACGGCCTATCTAGCCTATCGACCTATAACCCTAGTAACCTTCGTAATTCTACGGAGGTTGTTATAGTCTATATAGACCTGTATTGTATATTAAGCCCTATCGAGGTAGTGCCTCTAATGCTTAAAGGCCTCGACAATAGCTAAGAGCTCTTGCTCGTAGGTCTCGTAGCGACGCTTAGCATTAATTATCTTTCTCGAGAAGAAGGCAATTAGGTGCTAGTAATTGTTATTAGCCTGTTATAACATAATAGCTAATACAGCAAACTATAAAGCGTTAGTCTTAATGCGGATCTACTTGCTTAGTACAAAATAGTGCAATAAGGGGACTTTAGTAAAGCGCTTCTTTAAACCGTCAAAAGCGGCTTATACTCTGTTAGTCTATTTAAACTCTCTAGTTAGGTTAGCCTTAGTTTTAGTAAGCTTAGTTAGTAGCATTACATGCCTCGAATAGCCTTTAATAAATCGGCGATAGAAGTTAGCAAAACCGAGGAACGACTATAGCTCCTTAATTAACGTAGGAACAGGCTATTTAGTAATAGTTTTAATCCGATTAGGATTAGCCTTAACACCCTTAGTTAATACGAGGAAGCCGAGGAATAACACCTCTTTAGCAGCAAAGGTATATTTAGAAGGCTTATAATACAAGCTATAGGCCCTTAGGCGATCGAGTACCTTGCGGACTATAGCCTAGTGTTCCGCAATATTAGGAGAGTATATATAAACTAGGATGTTATCTAGGTAAACTATATAGAGGTAATCTAATAGGCCTAATAGGGCCCGATTGATATAGGACTAGAATATAGTAGGGGCATTAGCTAGCCTAAATAGCATAACCAAGTACTTAAAATAGCTATAGCGAGTACGAAAGGCCGTCTTCTATTTATCGCCCTTGCGAATACAGATACGATAGTACGCATCCTTAATATCTAGTATAGTATAGAAGTAAGCCCTAGAAAGGCGATCGAGGGTCTTATTAATAAGCGGAAGTGGATAGCGGTCTTTAATAGTAATAGCATTAAGTCTACGGTAATCGACGCATAAACGCAGGCTACTATCCTTCTTTAGAACAAACAGGATAGGTGTACTAGTAGGGCTATTACTATACCGAATGCGGCTATTAGCTAGGTTTTCCTCTAGGTACTTACGTAGTATAGCAAGCTCTCGTTTACTAAGGTTGTAGAGGAGGCTAAAAGGAACCTCTTTGCCCTCTATAATGTTAATCTTATAATCCGTCTCTTTAAATATAGGCAATATCGATGCTAGGTAGTATTCAAACATATTAATATAGGTCTCTCGGATAGGCTCTAGTATGCGAGTAAGCTAATTAGGATCTATGCTATTAGGGGGCATAGGCTTATTATTATTACTAAGTAGGTCGACCGTCGGATTAGCTAGGGTTAGGTTGCTAATAAATAGGACCCTAATATCATTAGGGCACTCGCTAATATTAATGTGTTTAATGTCCTCTTTCCTAGCGATTCTAAATCGCTATTATTAACTGCCTAAGTCTATAACTATAGTATAGTAATTAAGAATAGGGTTGCTAATAACAATGTTAGATAGGAGGCTGTCTATGTCTACCGCGTAGGTAGTAAAGTTTAGTAGGCGCTTATTGCCGAGGTCGTCCTTTAGGGCTATATAGATATAGTAGGCCCTATAGGTTAAGTGCCGAGCGTTATTAAACTAAGCAAGGGTTAGCAGGTTAGTCCTAGGCAGTTATCGAAGGTCTAATTGCTTAGCTAGGCGATAGCTAATAAGGGCACTAACTGAATTTCCTAGATCTAGTATAACCTTAGTCTTATAGTTAGTCCTATACGTATCCGATACGAGATAGGTACGTATAATAGCTAGTACAATGTCGATAGTCTTACGCCGTATAAGGCTAATAGTTAGTACGGCGCTTACTCTTTTTTCGACTAATAAGAAGGTTGGCCTATAGGGGTAGCGTTAGCTGCTAAAAGGTGCTTTCGGTATTCGGCGGTAGTACGGTCGATTCGGGCCTAGTCCTTAGGTTTGTCGCATTAGCCTAGTAGGTAGCTAGTGCTATTACAATTAAAGCACTTCAGTCCGGTTAGGGGATTGCTATAGCTATTACCGCTATTATTAGCCGAGCGATTAGTACTATAGGGATACGAGCCCCTTCTACGGCCCCTATTACGGCCTCCTCTATATAGCCGCCGGCTACGGCTTCTTCTACGGTCGTTATTACTATTCCTATTGTTAGTACTATTGTTCTAGTAGGAACCTTAGTTTCCTCCGCAGCTACGATAGGTAGCTAGGCGTATCTTAGATTCTAACCGTTATTAGAGCTATACTATACGCTCTATAGTCTCGACTTTAACTATAAATTAAATGCGTATAAGATTAGTCTGTTTAAACACACGGCGGCGGTCCAATTCAAGGACTAATTCCTATCGCAATTTAGGGCGTATTTCGGAAATCTAGATAGAGTCGGTCTTAGCTAGCAAATCGTCCTCGAGGGTCTTTAAATAGGCCTCAAATAAGCGAGCCGATTGATTAGTCTTTTGTTTAGCTCGAAGGTATTAGTCCTAAGCGTATTGTTGCCTTAGTATAGGGTTTCTAAGGGTGTCTAGTATAATAGTCTTATAGTCTTACTACTAAATAGCGGTCTAGTCGTAAAGGGAATTAAAATAGTTATCCTATATACGCTTTAGGTCGCTATTGATGTACTACATAGCGTATACGACTAAGGAATAGTCGTCTAGTAGCGCTCTTAGTGCGTTGCGCTAGTTAAGCTTACAGTTACGAATGTAGTCGTTATACTGCTTTCGGCTAGAGCTATTAAACACAGTATAGTCCTTGAGTTTAGCATCCTTCTTCTAGACTAGAACTAATAGCGAGGAAGGCCCTGCTATCGGCTTAGTGTTAGTTGTTAGGGCCTCCTAAAGGCGGCGAATCTCGAGGAGATTATCCTTTAGCTATTGTTCTTAACGTAGGGTAGTAAGCCTGTTTTAGGTAGCTTCTTAAAGTCTCGCTACTAGCTAGGGCCTAAAGGCTAGCTAGCTATATCGTCGATTAACAATGTTATTAAGAATGTCGTTAACAGGCAATTCTAGATCGTTACCTAGAATTATAGGTTCTTCTTTAGCAGGCTTAGTAGCAGGCCCTTTAGTAGGAGGTACTTTAGTAGGAGGCACTCTAGTAGGAGCCTTAGTAGGCACTTCGGTAGGCACTGTACTACTAGCGTTGTCGTTGCTAGCGCTACTAGCGGCAGCACGGTTATTGTTTCGTAATAAACCGGCTATTATAAGGGGCGACACTAATAATGTATTATTAGCCCCTAAGATACGGATATAGCGGAATTAGTAGATTCGGCTTAGTATACTTAACTTAGTATAATAGGCCGTAAAGAAGGCCTTACTTGATAATTAGTATAGTTGTTTCGATAGAATAGTACGTATAGGTCCCGTTCTTCGGGCGCAATATAGTTAAATCGATAGTTTTCGTAGCTATACCGCTAAAAGCTTGAAATAAGGACTATCTAGCTACTGCCCTTAAAGGGTAGATCGAATACTATATAAGAAGGGTTATATTAGTAGGTAGATAGGGTAGTAGTAAATTAGTATAGTATTCGATAGAGATCTAAAAGGAGAGGGAGGAAGGTAGGCTAGTTAGCCTAACGCTAAGCGCTAAGCCCTGCCTAAGGCACTAAGACCCTAGCTTCACTCGGCCTAATTACATGCCAATTACGTATAGCCTCTTTAGCCCTAATAGGCAAACCGAGCTAATATACTAAAACCGAGTATTTCCGTAAGTTTAGTAGGTCCTATTATACGCCTAATAATCGGGCTATTTCCTAGCGGGAATAGTAGATACAGTCCCGTAGGAACCTAAAAGAATAGGACGCTAAAAGTCTACTACAATTAAGGCTATCTAGGGGATAGATCGGTCTACCGTCTATGCGACGCCCGACTCTATAATATCGCACTTCGTAGAAGCTTAAAGCCTTGTCGTATCCTAGTAATCTCTTAAATCTATAGTAGGTCTATAATAGCTAATAAGTACTCCTTTCTTACTTATAAAGAGACAATATAGTAGCCTATTCTTCTAACTAGGATATAAGAGAGAAATTAGAGTAAAGTAATACTAATTTTTTATTTATACTAGTAATAAGAGCTTTTTGCACTATATATAGGTACGGCTTACTTAATCTATAATAGACTTTACTATTTCTATAACTAGTTTTCTAAAATCTATTATCTACTAAATAAATACTAGTATAGTAGTACAATAGCCTAGTAGAAATAGTATTATTATCTAGATAGTAGAAGTAGAAATATAAGATTCTTTTATATAAACTCTAATATATTTAATATAAATGGTTTAGTTATAAACTAGTTATATATATTATATTTTAGTTAATAGAGACATTTACCCTATTTTAATTCTATATCAGCTACAGCCCTATCCTAGTATATAAAGTAGACTAACATTCTCTATAAAAGCTTAGTTATAGGACTTATCCCTTAGTACTAAACTATAGGAATCGCTATTTTCTCGTCTAGTCGCGAGATAAGCATCATCGACGAGATGCCTGTAGCTCGAGCATTGTCACGGCGCCATCACCTGTGACAGAGCAAACGTACAGGGGAACTGGCCAATTATCGCCTGGCCCATTTGCTTGGCCAGATTCAACTGTGCCGCAGAGCCAAGCTTTGACCACACGTCGCCTCTGACCTGCATCGTTGTCGTGGTTTCAAAATCTCGAGCTCGTTCGCGCATACATTATTGATACAGTATTCAATACCGGGAAGCGCCAACACACGATTGACCTTAGTTGTCATTTTCGCTCTTTTCTGTGCTCCCTAGGGCTGAGAACAGGTGCGAGGCTCCAAAAATCAATTCATGATGCAGAAGTTATATCGGCTGGGTCCAACATTGGAGCAGAGTGGACCACAAGATTTTTGTCCCCGTTTGAAGGCTCGAGTCGTTCCGTCGTTGCAGCGGCTGAGGGTCATTACCTTTGATGTGATAGCGTGGGAGTGGAGGACGTGTCCATGTGCATATCGGGCGGCCTCACGAGGAGAGGATGGATGGACCCAAAGGGCCCAATTGTGACATCCGCTGCGAGTGAGCGGCGTTCGTCGACAAACCTAGGATGTCGGCTAGAGTGAGCCAATCTGAGTGCAAGAAATGATCAGCAGTTCGCCGGAGTTGACCCCAGGACTTTGTTAAGCGGCTCTCACTCACTTCGTTAGTTGGCTGTCGGCGTTCATCGACAAAACAGAGAACAACCCCTACCGCTCCAGCATGGCTGAATCCGAGACCCACTCGGACAGTATCGCTGTTCGAGTAGTGATGCAGGTTTGTATAGAGCCACCCCAGATTTAGCATAGAAAGTGGAACCTAACAAGGGGACTGCTAGGGTGGGTGTTCGACGGACTTAACCACGGACTTCGTTAAGGGACAACTCGCACGAGATGTGCCAGCCTACCTGGGAGGTGCAGGATGTATAATCTGCGCTCTGCGCTGGTTGTTTGGCGCCAACCATGCGCGCGTGCTCGAAGCCGCAGGACGTATCTCTATGATAGCGTCTTCCACCATAGCATCCAGGACGCCCCTCGAGAGCCTTGCTCTGCGAACTCGCCTTGTCATGTCTTCATAAAATGATCGTTGGCCCAAAACAGTCGCATATTGTCGACGCATATTGGCAGCATGTCATATCCAGCACTCACACATGGTACAGAGGTGACCTCGTGGATACCATTCACTACGCCTTTCACCGCCCCACAGTCCTGCTCATCACTCTTCAACGTCTACGCGGCTGGCGATCTCGCCGCATTCGATCCGGTCTGGGGTGTATCAATTGATACAAAAGACATCTGCCAGCCGCCTGCTGTTACGACATGGTGGTTACAAGCATCAATCTTCGAACAAGGAGGCTTGCAAAATGTGCATACAGCTTGGAGCCTGCTACCGTTCAGTTGCCCAGGAGGATTTCAAACCGGCGCCTCATCAATCATCGTCAATGGAGCCAGCTCGACGACGTTGGCATTCTGTTGTCCAAGGTAAACAACGCCAGAGACATACACTCAGCATGAGCAGAAGAGCGTGTAACTGACCGACCGATTCAGTGGATATTCCGTCGCAAACCCAGGAACCGGCACGAACTTTGGCAACTGCCAGTCTGAGGTAACTGCTGGGCAAGTGATAACTCTGGGCTTGTCACGCGGGAGTGGCTATACGACCAGCGTCTCGACGGTCGCCTCGGCGATTGACGTGGGCGCCATTGCTGTGCAAGGCTACGCAATTCCCACGACCGCGACTAGGACATCGACTAGCAGTAGCTCTTCGAAATACACGGTCAGGACCTTAGGCAGTAATGCATCCCCGACCGACAGTGCATCATCACCCAGCAGTGAGTCACCGACCAGCAGTGCGTCACCGACCAGCGCAGTTCCTTTGCCGACTTCCTCGAACAACGACGATGATCTTTCGACTGGCGTGAAAGCTGGCATTGGTATTGGCGCTGCTCTTGGTTTCATTGGCATTGTCGCGCTCATAGTAGCTCTTGTTGTCATCCGGCGCCGTCACCAAAAGCAATCGAGACCGCAAGCTTCAGGACAAGGCGCGTTCATCGATCGGCATGGTGAAGGGGACTGTGAGGACCAAATCGGTCAAGAGCCAAAGAAGGGTCCGCAGTATCCAAGCGACAACACGTGGAGCGAGCTATCGTCTGGACAGCACATGGGTGAGCTAGACGCGACTCCTCTGCCAGCTGAGCTTGAGGGAAACAGTGAAATCAGACACGGCCGGCGGTTTTAGGAATGCCCTGTATTTGATTCTTCGTTAATCTAGCATGGCGTTTTCCCGGGTCCCTCCGGCGGAGTGGTTCAAGGCTCGGTGGTATCTCGATGCTGTTCATGGTGAAAGGTAAATGATAGCTGTGTATGACTTGAAATCAACCTGTGCCATTTCGTATTCTGACTTTGATGCATGCAGACATCAGTGTCTCGATGCACATTCATTTCCATGTTGAGACCGTCTTGGTTTAGATGTCGCACCCATCTTCATCGTGATCAGTAGAGTGCATGGTGATGAGGCAAAAAGTTGACTGCTCAGCTATAGCTCCCTCTCACGCATGCAAGTGAGTCGACCCATTCCTTCCTGTGCTCTGAGGCTTGGATTTGGATTCGGAAGCGATTGCTCTCGACACCTCTCCGCTCCAGTTAGCATCGGTCAAAGACATTAGAAATTCCAGCTTTTGATGTTTCGTGTAGTTGGCCGGCTGGCTCTGGTGAGTTGAGATGGAGGCAGGTAGGACGCCGCAGACGAGCAGGCATTTGACCAAAGGTGGCGCTAAACTCTCTTGATTTAGGTAGATGGAACCGACGCGTCCTCCGCACAAGGGGACGCTGCCGGTCTGAGATTCAGTCAGCATGTTGATCATCGCGAATTAGTTGGGTCTTGTGGCCATCTCGAACCTTCTTGCATTCGGACTTGTCTTTCTCTCGCAATCCCCACCGGAAGCTAACACTGCGTAGTCGTTGACAGTTCTGGACGCCGATGCTTTTGAACCAATCCATAATGGGCTCAAGCGTATCGTGGTTGACGACTGCCTCGAAGCGCGTCGATTCGTGGTAGAAGATTGGAGAAGCCTCGAATCTGATCTGTCGGCAGGTTCCAAGGAGTCCCACGCGCTCGACGATGGTGTCTGGACAAGGAGTTAGACGTGGCCTCTGAGCTCCCAGACGCAGGTCTGCTTACCTCGGGAAATGGTCAGAGTGCCATCGTCTCGATTCGGTCCGACGACATAGCCATAGATGATTTCGCGAAGCTCAGCTGGTAGAGCCAGAAGTCGAGAGGCCTGGCGGGTGGAGGGATGTGTATGAGCTTTCTTCTTCCGCACATAAGGAAGCCTGAGGCCTTGAGAATTGCGAGTCATGCGTGCTGAGGTCGACTTGCCGCGAATGTTTTCATCTTTGCTCGACATGTAAACGTAGGCGAGGAACTCAATGCCTTCTCCTGCCGTATGGCCTTGGCGGATGTTTTTGAGCATGAGATGTCTCACTCGCGGGTTGGACTGACTTCGCCTGTAAAGTTTTTCCACCGCATCAGCGATGCCGTAAAGCCGGTTGCGAAGCGCCCGCTGTCTTGCGGCCTGCGCGATGCGGCGCACGCATACATCGTCGTCGTCGTCCATGTCCGGCATTGTGAGAAGAGTGGCGCGATGAAGGCTGGCCCAGGTCAGGAGGGAGGAGGGGGACGGGGGTATTTCATGGAACGCGTGAAGCAGTAGTCAAGAGAGAGCCCTGTCTTGGTAGAACTATTCCACGGTTCCTGGTCAGGCATCACTTTTCATGCCTGAATCGAGGGGCTGGTCAAGTCAAGACTCATGTCGGCTTCTCGAAAAGAAGTTGTATCCAAACAATTGACATTACAGACACTCCTGCCAAACATGGCCATCGACGCACACGTCAAGGAGTGGCAGCACCGCGCGGACGCCCTCAAGCTTCTCAATCTCAAGCAGATCGAAGGCCCTCTCGGCGAACTCGACGCACACCTCACCCTGCGAAGCTACATTGTTGCCTACAGACTCACCGACGCCGACTTGACGGTATGGAAGACGCTGCGATCGAACCGAGTGGCCCACGCCTACATCAAGCAGAACCTCATGGTCAATCTGTCGCGCTGGTTCAGCTTCATTGAAGACACCGCCAAGCCCACCATCGACCTCCCAGCAAGAGTCAAAGAGCCGGCAGACGATGGCGCCAACTACGAAATCGGCCTGCCAGACACCGAGAAAGGTGTCGTCACTCGTTTCCCTCCAGAGCCGTCTGGATACCTCCACATCGGCCACGCCAAGGCCGCACTGCTCAATGACTACTTTGCGCACAAGAAGTACAAGGGCAAGTTGATCGTCCGTTTCGACGACACCAACCCGTCGAAGGAGAAGGAGGAGTTCCAGGACAGCATTCTGAAGGACTGCGAGCTGCTTGGCATCAAGCCTGATCAAGTGACATACACCAGCGATTACTTTCAGGACCTGTATGAGCGCTGTGTGCAGATGATCAAGGATGGCCACGCATACGCAGACAACACCCCGCAAGAGCAGTTGCAGAAGGAGCGCATGGAGAAGATTGAGTCACAACACCGCAATGACTCCATTGAGGACAACCTCAAGCACTTCGAGGAGATGAAGACGGGCAGTGAGGAAGGCAAGAAGTGGTTCATTCGTGCCAAGCTCGACATGAGCTCAAACAACGGCGCTATGCGGGATCCAGTCATCTACCGCTGCAACCCAGATCCACACCACCGAACTGGCAGCACCTGGAAGATCTATCCGACGTACGACTTCGCATGCCCGGTCGTGGACTCAGTCGAGGGTATTACCCACGCACTGAGAACCACCGAGTATAATGATCGTGACGCCCAGTACCAATGGTTCATCAAGACTCTTAACCTTCGACCTGTACACAACTGGAACTTTGCGCGCATGAACTTCATCAAGACTTTCCTGTCGAAGCGGAAGCTCACAAAGGTCGTTGAGGAAGGCAAGGTGTGGGGCTGGGATGATCCACGTATGCCGACTGTACGTGGTATTCGTCGTCGTGGTATGACCATTCCCGCACTGCAGGAATTCATCGTCAAGCAAGGCCCATCCAAGAACATCATCACCATGGACTGGACCACAATCTGGGCCACGAACAAGAAGTACATCGACCCTATCGCTGCTCGATACACTGCTGTCGAAGCCAAGGACAAGGTTATATGTACCGTTGCCGGAGCTCCGGAGGCCGCCCGCACTGAGGAGAAGGATGTCCACCTCAAGAATGCTGAGCTTGGCAAGAAGAAGGTGGTTTTCAGCAAGAACATCATCCTCGATCAAGCCGATGCCCGCTCTTTCGCTGAAGGCGAGGAGATCACCTTGATGAACTGGGGCAATGCCATCGTCAAGTCCAAGAAGCATAGCCTCAATCCACTCAACCTGGTCAAGTCCGAGGAGAACAAGCCAGTAACGGAGCTTGAGCTTGAGCTGCACCTCCAAGGTGATGTCAAGAAGACTAGCAAGAAGGTCACTTGGCTCTCCACGGATCAGGAACTTGTCCCACTCGTCATGTATGACTTTGACTACTTGATCAAGAAGGACAAGCTCGAGGAGGACGATAGACTGGAGGATGCGCTGACCGAGGTGACTGAGTTCAAGACTGAGGCGCTGGCTGACTGCAACATCGCCAACCTGAAGGAGGATGACATCGTGCAGTTTGACCGCAAGGGTTACTTCCGCATCGACAAGGCCTTCAAGCATGGCGAGAGCGTTGTGGCCTTCCAGATCCCAACTGGAAAGAAGATGTGATCCAATTTCGAATTCAAGGCAATCGAGGAAAGCGTTACGACTTAGGTACAGGTAGATGATTGACGCAAAGACGAAAAGCTGTCGGCACTGCCGCTGCACTCCATCTGGAAAATCGTCCTTCTTTTGAACGCTTCCGATCCTACGTTGTGAGCAGCACACCAGGCATGTGACTTTTGCCAAGCCGCCTTCTCAAGATCGTAGCGAGCTGCACGACTGCACTTCGCTTCAGCTCCACTCCTTCCATGCCAACGACCATCGACAATTCAAATGCCACCCAAATCAAAAACAATGCTTGATGCCAACATCTGCGAAAGTTTCATACACACTCCATTGCCAGATCCTTCTAATCACATTCGTCTTATCGCTCTTGGAAGCGGATCAAAGGGGTTCGAAATCTTGTCCTTGTCAACATGGCATCTCAAAGAGCTTCCCAAGTACACTGCAATCTCTTATACATGGGGCCCTTTAGAGATTGTTCCAGTTCAGGTCGATGGACAGATACTCAAGATTCGCACCAATTGCTATACGGTTTTGAAACAGGCCCAGAAGCTGGCTAGGACTGCATATCTCTGGATTGACTCAATCTGCATCGACCAGGAAGGCAATCGTGAAGAGAAGAATGCTCAGGTCAGTATGATGTACAAAATCTATCGGAAGGCCACAGAAGTGCTTGTCTGCGTCGGAGAGCATGAAGGCGGCAGTGAACGGCTGATGGCTGTCATCGGAGCTCTCAGCTACCCACTGCAGGTCATATCTCAGGAAGGTACGCCTTGGAGGACCAGATTCTTCTGGAGGACGTTTTTCGCCACGCTGGGTACTTCCGAGATCGAGGACATCCTTGTGTTGCTAGAAAACTTCGAGAGTCGTCCGTATTTCAAACGACTTTGGATCGTACAGGAGCTTTTCGCCGCTGGCAAGAACAAACAACTCGTGTGCGGTCCTCACGTGCTACCTTATCAGCTTCTTCGCGCCTTTCTCGCTGCGTTCATTGAAGGGAATCGGGAGCTTCGGCTTGATGATAGTCACAAGTTTCCCTACTTGTCCACAACATGCTTCGATTTAGCGGTGAGGCCTAACATGGAGTCAATCTTCCTACGATTCGGAGTACAGCACCTATGCTTCGATCCGCGCGACAGACTCTTCGGTATGATATCCTTTCTGAACACAAAATCCAGCGTTATGCCCGTGCCTCCAGTCGACTACAGCAAATCTACGCTCGATCTAGCTCTCGACTTAGCGCCATTCTACGATAGCGACCAGGTCAGGGCAATGCTCGCTGCATTCGAGCTGACCGCCCGAAGCGATAAAATGCAGCACCTCGTGCAAGGAATGTCAGGAGAGTTCGCGACTGACGGAAAGACTCCTGACAGCAAGTTTTTAACAATTGACAACCAAGTCGAAGCATTGCGCTTACGGTTAGGGCCAAATAAAGAGCTTGAAGCCGACTTTGACACCTTTTGGTTGCCCCGTGGTACCGTCGATTCGGCAAGGCTGGAAGAGCTTGAGTCGCTGTCAATTCGCCCGAGGTGTACTTCTCCTCCATGAAGCCCCATCGTCTCCCGAAAAAGGTGTTCTCAAGAGGCCGAATCGTCGCTCTTGTCGATGCCGTCGCAGAGGCTGGAGATCTGCTCATATCTCTGATCGCGACACCTGCTAGTGAAATGAACAACCTATTGGTGCTGAGACCTGTTTCTGGAAACACAAATGGCTATATGATCGCCGGACAAGGCATCGCTTTCTACAAGTTCGGCATGAACAGTATGGGCGCACAGCGATGCCAATGCGAAGCCACGCATCGAAGTCAGCATCCCAGATTCGAAATGCATTTCAGCCTCGCCTTAAGCACACGCGAACTTCTGGCGTACATCGGACAAGATTTCATTGGTCCTGACTATTATCATACAGCCTTCGATATCGACAAACGCTTGGAGAGACTTGCGATTTGTCCGATTCCTACACTTTCAACTTCGCGCGTACTGGACACGCGGGTACTAAGATGTTACGCCAATGGCGCTTCAGAGAATGCCGATGTGAGCAACTGCGGACCGCAGACTGTGATTCGGGATTCGAATATGAATGATGTTTCTGAGCTGGAGAGCAGTGACGACAGTACAGGATATGGCAGCATAGGAACCTCATCAGATGAAAGTGTCGACTTAGGCGATGTTTCGGCCTTGTCCATGACGGAGAGGTATCGAGCTTGGCAGATCAAAAAATTTGGTCGACGTAAACACATCGAAGATCTGAGGCAGGACTATGATGAGGCCCAAACTAAACGTCAAAGACTCAGCTGAGCTAGTAGGCGTAGGAATAATAGTACATGGGTAGGCTCGGCTCACTACACGTTCCACCTGCTTGCTGTTGCAATTACAGGCTGGAGTGTCGAGGAGGAATCATGGGCTCGTTGCAAGGAATCAGTGCTCGCAGTCGTGTTGCGCAAGCACGCCGGGATGTTCTCATCCATGTCAGGCTTGGAAGGGTCGCCATTGAGGCATTCGCACATCATCGAAGGTACCTACGCTTGCTTCTCAAGGACCTGGTCATTGTACGCATGGGTGTATGGAGAAGTACTTCGTGGCATTCGATCCTCCATAGTCTATGCCAATAGAGTCTGCACCAGCACTCTGACCTACAACCGTGACTTTACGAGGATCGCCTAGATTGAGTCAAACGGCGATCAGAAAACGACCGAACTCCAAACTTTGAGATGTGCTCCTGCACCGCAAGATGCTGATCTTGCAATCCTGCTTTTGCTGGAAATCCAAATGCACTCAGCCGATACTGTATTTTTATTGACACGGCCAATTATTTGTTCGAATCCCGGCGTACTTTCTCAAATATCTATCCTAGGCTCATATCCTACCCTGCCAGCTCCATACCTTATACTCGTCCGTAAGTACAAAACAGGACAGGATAAGGTAACCGATGATGCAAACACGATCTGTTTAGAAAAAGACAATCTTCATCGCCACTGAATTCGAAGTCCAGGTGCATCCAGGATAGAAGCCCGATTCGTGAGCATCCTATTCCTATCTCAGATCACTTTGCCTTTCCAAGCTCCGGAACCGGATTCCTATCAAGGGGTTATCGGGATGCGCGTAGCCTTCCCTGATATACGAAGTATCCGAACTCTAACTTCCTTGTCGAACCGCTACCTTGCTAGACTATCGTTGTGCCGAAGATTCAGGCGGTATCTGGTGGCAGGTCGGCTACTTGACGGGAACATAGAACTACAGGAGCAAAGCGCCCCTCGTCTACAGTACGTGACTTTCGCACATGCTAGTGAAAGAAAGAAAGAAAGAAAGAAAGAATACCAACGAAGCCGATGTGTACACCCTTCTTTCAAAAAAGTTTCGGTACTACTACATATTATCTACACCCTATAGAATAGTAGAAGAGCCTCCGAGCCCCTGCGACTGCAGTGCAGATTATGCCTGTATTAAGTTAACATCTACGTAGGAGCAAAGACTACCACTCGGGCGGCGGACGCTAAGTTATTACCCGTGTCCTGAAAAAGGGCACACACAGTAAGACTTTGCCCCAGATCTGTTGCTTATTAGCTAGAACGTGGAGGGCTCTGGGATTATGGCTAGGTCTGATCCCTGCTTGGGGCGTTGTTGTTGCTACTTCGAGCACAACGACTAGACGCTGCGATCCAGAAAATTCCAACCCGGCTCCGTATTTCAAAACCTACGGGGATTGATTACGGGCTTGGCTTTCGTTTCCATTCTTCCTCGGGAATGGAAGGAGGTCGACTCGCAGTCTCTCTCACACTCGTAGCCACGGATCCAGATTTCAAAAAGTATCGAATCTCTCACAACTTGTACTACATAATACCTAGAATAACTTCCGGGACTAATAAACCCTGTCACTGTGGACTCCGCAGCACTTACCGTAGGACTGGGCTACGCGGATAGTCATTAAATATAGGCTAATCAGAATCCTGCTATTCATACCTACTCATTATACATACGCTCCCCGGTAATGCTTCCCTTGTAACGTTATTACAGGAAAGGAGGTGCAATCCTAGTCTGAACAACCAACTCCGTTACATCGAGGGTGAAAGGCTAAAAAGAAAAAAAGTGTCGAGTACTACAAATACTGGCGTGCAATCGCCGTGGCCTTGCTTCGCTCGCTTTCAAAATCTTTACCGATCCTATCCTACCCTATCACGAAACAACACCGAACACCGAACACCATGCGGTCCATATTTACCCTCGCTACTACGATTCTCGCTCTCGTCTCGACCGTTGCGGCTGTGTATCAGGGAGACCAATGTGCTTGCTCGGGAGTCCAGGGGTGCCGAAAGATAGGAGCTTTGGGATGTGTAACCATTTCAGGCACGGTCACCTGTGTCACTGGGGCTACGGACTGCAATGCGCCGTGCGGAGGCCATGGGTTTAGCTACAGAAAATATGTGTAAGTGTTCGCATCATATATCTTCGGAAATTTTTGTTTCTTTTTTTCTTTTTTCAAATTTGCTTTTTGGAGATGAGGTTTTATTAATTAGAGTTGTCATACCTAGCTCAACCGACTCAGAATGTATTTGCACCGCGCAGGATGCAACTTCGACAGGCACTTGTGGCTGAGGTTTCGCCCGTACTGGCGGCGTATAAGGGAAATAAGGACGGATCATTCCGGCAAATTGTACCTACGAGTGGGTGGAAGCAGTGACGAAGCAAGCGAATTCATCATCTTCGTCCTTTGCGGCCAGGCGGGCCTTGGATACTGCGAACATCTCGAGCGCTGAGCTTCAACGTGCTGCCTTGCATCTTCCCAATCCCAGGTCCCGTTACGCCACGTACTCGAGCTTTCTCCGATGCCTTCGACCGTTGTTTGAACTTCTCCAGAATTATGCCGTTCTCCGCAGCTTCCTTCCTTCGACTTGCCTCGCGACTGGCAGCCTTTCCAGAAATGCCTTTGCGCATCGACATGGGCATCTTTTCCTGCTGAATTGCCGAAGTCTTGGCACCGAGATCTTGCAATCGCATGTCAAGAGCTTTGATACGGTCTTTGCCCTCTGGGCCGGTAGAGCTACGAAATGATGATGGATCGAGGAGATGTGATTCTTTCAGAAGTCGCTGCAAAGCGACGTCCTTCTTGAGGTTCGCGACTTCGCTGCCGTCGTCCTCGGTGCCAGGTTTTGCAGCCTTGGTCGTCGACTTCACTGGCCGTTCTTCTGTCGGTGGTTTCGAAGACTGTAGTCGCATTAGCGAATTCGCAGTCTCGTAGCCTTTTTTTCCAACTTGCCATGTACGATTTCTTGCCATTTTTGAGCCCGCCAAATATCGCATCCATATCGGGTTGGGCATGTTCCACAATCTCTACAGCATCCTCATCCTCAGAAATCCCACCCCAGTCAGACTCGTCGACATTCTCATTATCGTGATCGTCTGAGTCCTCTCCATCAGAATTTTCGTCTCTCACTGGCTGCACCTCGAGCGGCTTGAATTTCGCCTCGAAAGCCTTCTGGAAAAGTGCTCTTGCCTCATTGTCGCCTTCCGAGTCGCTGTCGACAGTCGCAGCCGCTTTCTTCGCAGGCTCCGCTCGTCGCTTGCGTTTCCCCAAAGTCGCTGACATCTCCAAACGAGATTACGATCTCCTCAATCTGATCGAGCGGTTGCGCGTGGTGTTGAAAACGTCGAACAACTGGTCGTTCTCGGAATTGCGCTCGGGCGGGAGACAAGGATCAAAAGTGACAACCCTGATGCCAAGCTTTTGCCCCAGCCTCTCCTCTCCTCGAGTCCTCTCACAAGACACGCGGACGTCTTGTCTCATCACGAACAAATTTCTAGCAAGATGACGCAGTTCAGACCTTGCATAGATCTGCACGCAGGCTCAGTCAAGCAGATCGTCGGCGGCACGTTGTCGACGGACAACGCAGGACTCAAAACGAACTTCACATCAGAGCATCCATCCGCATTTTTTGCAGAGCTTTATAAGAAGAATGATCTACGAGGAGGCCATATCATCATGCTTGGTCCAGGAAATGATGAGGCAGCTCGGTCAGCTTTAGCAGCCTGGCCAAAAGGTCTCCAAGTTGGCGGCGGCATCAACGATACCAATGCCAAACAGTGGATAGAAGCGGGTGCCGAAAGGGTAGGAGGCATGAGACAGTCTTTCCGCGTAATCCTGTGCTCACCAAACGCAGTAGGTCATCATTACATCTTTCTTATTTCCCTCTGGAACCTTTTCTCTTGCAAGACTGCAATCCGTCCTCGATGCGCTGGGAGGCGATAAGGAGAAACTCGTGATCGATCTCAGCTGCCGACGTGTGGGCGAAGGCTGGAGAGTAGCCATGGACAAGTGGCAGACCATCACGGAATTCGAGATCAACAAGGGTGGGTAGTATCGTACATACATCCATCACGCTAGGTCTCGAACTAAGCAGGGCTGACACGTGGGACAGAGAACATCTCCATGCTGGAACCGTACTGTAGTGAGTTCCTGATCCACGCTGCCGATGCCGAAGGTCTGCAGGCGGGCATTGATGAGAAACTGGTCGGCTACCTGGCGGAGATTTGTACGATTCCTGTGACCTATGCAGGCGGAGGCCGGAACCTTTCAGACCTGGAGCTGGTCGAACGTCTCAGCGGTGGCAAAGTCGACCTCACGATCGGGAGTGCTCTGGACATATTTGGGGGCAAAGGCGTCACTTTCGAGGAGTGCTGTCAGTGGAATCAGTCCCGGAGATCGTCGTAGCTCGCTAGGTCTCTTCTGCTTTCGGCACGCCTCCGAAAGACTTTGAGACTGCCGTAACTACGTACTACATCGGCCTTCTTTGTTAGCTTGAAAGCCACTTCTGTGCTCTGTATGGGGAGCACGTGGCCGAGAACAATCAAATGCTTAGCATAGTTCTCCGGCGGTCACTAAAGATGACAGATCTTGGTACATGTAGGTATGACTGGGCAAGCCACATCTGCAGCGCTATCATTCATACTTTGATGATGATCACGTAGCGCAATAAAATCTGAAATTGACTCGAGCTTCGTTTTGGCATGCCAGACAGTAGGTCTCAGCAAAATCTACGTGGGAGTACGTCGGCTGAGTGCGCCAGAGGAGAGGAGAGCTCTGTGCAGCTACTACATACCGATGCTCAATACCGATGCATGCATGCCGTATCTGTATATGCACGAGTGCTTTGCCATCTGACAGGGCGCGCAGCACTTGGCTTCACATGCTTTGGCCGAGGCTGAATAGTTAAACGGGCCGATTCTCCATGAACACTCCACGGGGCCGCATGGAGCGGATTCCAGAACTGTGGATGAACAGGTTCATGATGAGAAGACAGATGTTGCCACCAATAATGAATCATGACACGATCGTAAAACCTTCAGAGATTATTATTCTCGACTCTTTTCGCGAAAGTTCGTACCAAGCGCGGTGGCTAACGGCTTCCGCGCCATGTGTCATGGAAGCGTTCTGGAAGGATTCGGTTCGATTCGCGCCAGAAGAAAAAAAACACACGAAGTGGTAGTGTACTTAGTACGAAGCTAGCACTTTTACGCGCCGCGCATCGAGCCCAGCAGAAGGAGAAATCTCGTGTCAGGCTACTTGTGCTCCAGACCGCAGTTCGCGAGGATTTTGGTGGAACGTTGTCGCACGGCGCAGAGGCTCGAAAGGGAAAGGAAAGGATCAAAGCCACGTCTTGGCAGCACGCCTCCCGATGGTACCGTTGTAGTTCGAAAATCCTTTGGTGAAGTGGAGTGCAGGAAGGGTTTTTTCGGATGAGTTGCCGGCGAAAATAATGTTGCGAGGGCCGAGTGGTGGAAGCGAGGCGAGCAGGCATGAAGACACTATGGCATGGCTCGTCTCGTATCGGGGTGGGTGAGTGCAGGGTGTTGCAGAGGACACAGAAACATACAGTTACAGTAGGATTGTTGGAGGTGGGAGGGAGAGTGAAACAGCGATCACGATGGTTGTGTATGAGGTGGAGGGTACCAAGGCATTGGTCAGGACGAAACGCTACGCATATTATCAGTTTACCTTTTGAGCGTTCGCGATGGGAGTGGAGCGATGCAGCTTGGCTCAGCTGGTGGTCCAGGTCTGGGCGGCGGCAGAGGCGAGCTTCGGCCTTCGTGATTGCACAGCGCGGTGGTGGCGACGGCGACGGCGACGACGATGGAGTCGGACGACGACACCGAATTTGTCGGCCACGAGAGGTGTGACGATGGTCATGTGCTCGGCGATTGGGCGCACGCCGACCACATTTTCATTGTGAGGCCAGAACAAAGCGATGCAAGGCGGGCGCCGACAACGAGGCCGTCTTGTCCGTCGAGCACTAGTCAGTTGGCCAAGCGGAGTAGTGCTTGCAGGCGAACGGAGGAGGAATCAGGATGGATGGCTGCTCGGGGGACCTCTGGAATTTGCTCAGCGCTGGCTGCGGAAGGGGAGTTGCATTCCGGGCAGCTTCCCCGACAACTTGTACAATAATGCGATGGAGTCGCGAACAGCACGAACAGCACGACATGGTCTGATGCCGGCACAGAGCAGCTGCTGAAAGGCGCATCCAAGGGCAAAGAACGCCACAGTTTGCGCTGGGCGCTATTGATGCACGAGACCAGCATCTGGCACGCGTGATTGGCCGCGCGCAACCCCGTGGAGCGCCCCGACTGAATCTGGAGGCATCCACGTGAGAGCGCATATGCAATTTCGCGCTTCCTGTATTCTAATGTGTCGTCCGTGCGCTCGCCCGCTCCCCGCCAAAGCTGGAGCATGTGCTGCGGCTTCTTTTATATTAGACTCGCGTGTTTCCTCTTCGCCATTGTTTCCGACACAACGTGCATTCGCTCCACTCCTTCCTCCTCTCGCCCTGCCCTCGATAACCGACGTCGGCCCTCGAGCTCACTCACCTTGCTTGGAAGCGACTTCCACCCTTCGCTCCGCTGCATACCTACAACAACAACACCTATAGCAAGCAAGCAAGCAAGCAAGCAGGCAAGCACCTCGCGCCGACACAGCCATGGCGGGAGGCCTCGCTACGACCAGCGATGTCACTCGCATTGAAGCGCCTGTCACTTGGAAGGCCTACCTGATCTGCGCCTTCGCCTCGTTCGGTGGTATCTTCTTCGGTTACGACTCGGGCTACATCAACGGTGTCACTGGTTCCAAGGTCTTCATTGAAATCATCGAGGGTCCAGGCGCGGAGAAACTCCGCGGCTCCTACCAATCGCTCATTGTCTCTATCCTCTCCGCCGGCACCTTCTTTGGCGCTATCATCGCCGGTGATGTCGCCGATTTCATCGGACGCAAATGGACTGTCATCCTGGGTTGTGCCATCTACACCGTCGGTAAGTTGCAATCGAGTCGCGTTTCACGCGTGCAAGCAATGTGCCGCTCACGCGATTCGCAGGTGTCATTCTCCAGGTCGCTGCTCACGGTCTTGGCCTGATCGTTGCTGGTCGTCTCATTGCGGGTATCGGTGTCGGTTTCGAGTCCGCTATCGTCATCCTGTACATGTCCGAGATCTGCCCGAAGAAGGTCCGTGGTGCTCTCGTTGCTGGATACCAATTCTGCATCACCATCGGTCTCTTGATCGCGGCCTGTGTGAACTACGCAGTCCAGGATCGCTCCGACACTGGCTCCTACCGCATTCCCATCGCCATCCAGTTCGCCTGGGGTCTGGTCCTCGGTGGTGGTCTCTTCTTCCTCCCAGATTCCCCTCGTTACTACGTCAAGCGCGGTCGTGTGGAGGATGCTCGCAGCTCCCTTGGTCGCCTGCGTGGACAGGACAAGATGTCCGAGTACATCGAGGCCGAGCTGGCTGAGATTGTCGCCAACGAAGAGTACGAGCGCTCTGTCATCCCATCAGGTGGCTATCTCACCGGCTGGGCCAACTGCTTCAGCGGTTCGCTCTGGAAGTCCAACTCCAACTTGCGCAAGACCATCCTCGGTACCTCTCTTCAGATGATGCAGCAGTGGACTGGTGTCAACTTCATCTTCTACTACTCCACTCCATTCCTGCAATCCACCGGTGCCATCGACAATGTCTTCCTGATCTCGCTGATCTTCACCCTCGTCAACGTGTGCTCGACTCCAATCTCTTTCTACACCGTTGAGAAGCTTGGTCGCCGTCCACTCCTCGTCTGGGGTGCTCTCGGCATGTTGATCTGCCAGTTCATCGTCGCCATCGTTGGTGTTACCGTCGGTTTCAACAAGTCCCACACCGTTCCAGGCGTCGATGGCGGCGACCCAACCACCGTCGCCAACAACATCTCCGCCGTCAACGCCCAGATCGCCTTCATCGCCATCTTCATCTTCTTCTTCGCCTCCACCTGGGGACCAGGTGCATGGATCGTCATTGGCGAGATCTTCCCTCTGCCAATCCGTTCCCGTGGTGTCGGTCTCTCCACTGCCTCCAACTGGCTCTGGAACACGATCATCGCTGTCATCACTCCGTAAGTTCAACCCACTTCTACTCTCAGTCAATACCTCGCTAACAGGTCACCACCAGATACATGGTCAACGAGGATGAGGGCAACCTGAAGTCCAGCGTCTTCTTCATCTGGGGTGGTCTCTGCACCTGCGCTTTCGTCTACTCCTACTTCCTCGTCCCAGAAACCAAGGGTCTCTCCCTCGAGCAGGTCGACAAGATGATGGAGGAGACCACTCCACGTACTTCCGCCAAGTGGAAGCCAACCACCACCTTCGCCCACGAAATGGGTCTCGACCAGGGTATCTCAGCAGAGAAGGTGCACGAGGTCGAGCGCAAGGGTTCGTGGACCGGTTAAGAGGAGCACAGGGCGATCATGATACCAGCGTGTTGATTCATGCATGCATGCATTACGGGCGCGGGGCGCAAATGAGAATTCTAATAAAGCGTTGTACTCAGATCATCCAAGATACAGTCTGGAGTCGTGGTGAGCGCAGAAGCACGCCAGTACGTACTGCGACAGACACTGTTGTCATAGTCAATAATGCGAAATACCCAGGATGAGTTCATGAAGAAGAAGAAGAAGAAGAACAAGTCAGCGTGAGATGCTGTTACAAGTATATATATACAGGCCTTGCTGTCTTGCGTCTTCTCTCTCTCTCTCTCTATACATCTTTCGTTGTGCCGTTTATCCGCGCGCATGGGCATGTAGGCGACTGTCAGGATCAGCACAAAGTCTTGGCAAAAATTTTCTGCTCGCTCTTTTTGTTTCTGTAGATTGTGACTTGGACTCGTTGGTGTCGCAATTGGGAAATGGCTACTGTGCTGTTTGAAGTTGTTGGAGTATAGTCTACCCTATTATCTAAGGAGGAGGGGATTTGGTTTTTTGGTTTAGAAGGGGGTAATCCCTAAAAAACGGGATCTAATAGGCAAAAGCTAGCGTACTACCTAAAGGAATTATCCGTACCTTTTAAAAAGTTTACGTCTAACGTTTTTAAGCTAGCTACTATTTATAGAGATTATCCCTATCCGCTATCTTACTTAATCGCCTATTATAGAGTAACTCTAGATTAGAGGTTAATACCTTAGGTATTAACTCTTAGCGCTACGATACTTCCTCGTACGCTTCTTTCTACCTCTAGATAGAACCGTACGATAACTCGTCTTCTATCTAATCTATACCGTCTTATAATATTTTATCGTACTATCTAGTATTAAGTCTATTATAGAAGGTTTTAGAGCTACCGGAGAAGCGCTAGTATAGTATACTATAGTTAGGAAGAATTTCTTCGAGTATCGCGAGAAGCGCGCGTATATATCTAGTTAGAGCGAACTATTAGTAGTATAGTTACGTATATAGTTATAAATAGACGGTATCGCTAGGATAGCTATATTATAGTTAGGAATTATCGGCAGATCTGTTACTAGGATACTATCTAGTTAGGAATCGAAATTAACCTAAAATACGTTAAGAAAAAGAGAGTTATACCGTAGCGATAGTAATACGATAGCTATAGTGTTATTTAATAGTATATACCGCTCGAGTAGGAGCGTAGAGGAACCCTAGAAGTTCTTAATTAGGTTAGGTACTAACTAAACAGTTAGTCTTTATACTCTATACTTAGTTTCTATATACTATAGTTTTAGTTTTATTTTAGGTCTTATAGTTTAGTTTCTATATACTACTTACTATTATTTTATTATTCTATATCTAGTCTCTTCGAGTCGTAGTAGCCGACGTAGTACTCGGCCCCTCCTACTAATCCTAATAAGTAGCGGAAGTTACTTTAGGATCTCGCTAAGATTAAAGCTAAAGGTACCTAAGTACTAAAAGAATACTAAGTAGCTTAGTCCGTATAAAAACAAACCTAAGAGGAAGACGCGGAGTATAAAGGGCTACGCCCTAGATAGAAAGCGCTAGCCTTAGGCATTTAGCCTACGCAACTCTAACCTACTGCTTAGCGCTTAGCGTACTATATAAAACTATTCGGATTTATATAGATAGACTTAGCTCTTTATCGAACCTATTAAGTCTTATATCTAGTATCTACGTACGCGTTACTTAACTATAATATTAGGTTCGATCTTTATTATAGGAAACGCTAAGGTTTATTAGGAACCCGAGTAAGATAGCTAGGGGAACGCTGCCTCTACTACGCTAGAGATAACTAGGGATAAGATTTATCGCGCCTTCGAGAGTCTCTATACTAGGTAATAGATAATAGAAGCCTAGCTATAAGCTACGCGCTCCGCGCTCTAATACGCGGAAGTATCTCGCTAGGCCGGGCCTACCGAGGCTAATACGATACGAGACTAGTCTACGAACGAGATCCTAAAAGGACTCCTAGAAACCCTCTCGGCTACCGGCTAAAACGTAATAGCGTTACGCGAATAGAAGCTACTATCGTAGGACGGAAAAGCTAAGACGTTCTAGGACTACTTACTACGACTAAGAAGTTTATATCGAGTTCGTTCTAGGTTAAAACCGAGGCTCTCCGAAGATTACTACTAGGATACTATTTACGATACCCTACTAGCGAAGGAACGCGCTAGGATACGCTACTTCTAGGAAAGAGGAAGCCTTACGAAAGGAAAGGACCCCGAAGCTTTCTTCTAGTAACTCGAGGACGTCTTCGCGGATAGCAACGAAGCTACTAAGGCGCTAGAGCAACTCTAAGCCCTAAGATATACTTAGGGATAACTTTAGTACGACTACTAGCTAGAATTCGATAGCCTCCTACTAAGCGTAGGTAGAGACCGTTAGACCGACGATACGAAAATTAGATACTTAAAGAATACCTTCTCGAACGCGGCTAAGACCTATACCGCCGCTATACTAAAGATTAAGGATTACTACCTCTATATAGAGGAAGTCGAGCGAATTATAACGAACCTCGAGACAATAGACTAGTTTAAATAGGCTATAAAACGCTAGTAAGAAAGGAAGAAGGAGGCCGCGAGCCCTATAGTAGTTATCCTATTCTATACGGCTCTTACGGCGAATCCGAAGGTCGACTCCGACGGAGATATAGTTATAAACCCCGCTTAAACGAACGCTTTTCATAGAAAGAATCGCGGAGGTTAATAAGGAATAGTAGAGAAGCCTAGAGCTAAATAGGTCGACTCTATAAAGAGAGAGAAACGTAAGAAGAAAAGGCTCTACTTCCGCTATAGAGCGAGTATATTAGGACTAAAGAGGTTATACGTAATTAGTATATAACTAGGCTCGAGTGAAGCTAGGGTCTTAATGCCTTAGGTAGGGCTTAGCGCTTAGTAATAGGCTAACTCTCCTACCTTCCTCCCTCTCCTCCTAGGTCCTTATCGAATACTACCTATACCTACTACTACCCTATCTACCTGCTAATATAACCCTTCTTATATAGTATTCGATCTACCCTTTAAGGGCAGTAGCTAGATAGTCTTTATTTTAAGCTTTTAGCGGTATAGCTACGAAAACTATCGATTTAACTATATTATACCCGAAGAACGGGACCTATACGTACTATTCTATTAGAACAACCGTACTAATTATTAAGCAGGGCCTTCTATACGGCCTATTATACTAAGTAAAGTATACTAGGCCGATACCTACTAATTCCGCTATATCCGCACTATAAGGGGCTATAATATATTATTAGTATTACCCCTTATTATAATAGCCGGCTTATTACGAAGCAACAACAACCGCGGCGCTACTAGTAGCGCTAGCAACGACAACGCTAGTAGTATAGTGTCTGCTAAAGTGCCTACTAAAGTGCCTGCTAAAGTGCCTACTAAAGAGCCTACTAGAGGGCCTACTAAAGAACCTATAATCGAAGGGGATAACCTATCGTTGCCTATTAACGACATTCTTAGCAATATTGTTAACCGTCGATATAGCTAACTAGCCTTTAGGCCCTAGCTAGTAGCGAGACTTTAAGAAGCTACTTAGAACAGGCTTACTACCTTACGTTAAGAACAGTAGCTAAAGGATAATCTCCTCGAGATTCGCCGCCTATAGGAAGCCCTAACAACTAATACTAAGCCGATAGTAGGGCCTTCCTTACTACCCGTTTAAAAGAAGGATACTAAGCTTAAGGACTATACCGTGTTTAATAGCTCTAGTCGGAAGTAGTATAACGATTACATTCGTAACTGTAAGCTTAACTAGCGCAATACACTAAGGGCTCTTCTAAACGACTACTTATTAGTCGTATACGCTATATAGTACATTAATAGCGACCTAAAGCGTATATAGGATAACTATTTTAACTCCCTTAATAACTAGGCTACTATTTAGTAGAAAACCTATAAGACTATTATACTAGACACCCTTAGAAACCCTATACTAAGGCAACAATACGCTTAGGACTAGTACCTTCGAGCTAAACAAAAGACTAATTAATTAGCTCGCTTATTTAAAGCCTATTTAAAGACCCTCGAAGATAACCTTCCGGCTAAGACCGACTCTATATAGATCTCCGAAATACGCCCTAAATTAAGGTAGGAGCTTATCCTTAAATTAGACCGCCGCCGTATATTCGAATTGGCTAATCTTATACGAATTTAATTTATAATTAAAGTAGAAACTACAGAGCGTGTAGTATAGCTATAGCAACGGTTAGAATCTAAGATACCACTATCTAACAACCGTAGTGCCCGCGGAGGAAACTAGGGTTCCTACTAAAATAACAATGCTAACAATAATAGGAATAGTAACAATAACCGTAGAAGAGGCCGTAGCCGACGGCTATATAGAGGAGGCCGCGATAGGGGCCGTAGAAGGGGCTCGTATCCCTATAGTACTAATCGCTTAACTAACAATAGTAGCAATAGCGGCTATAGCAACCCCCTAACTAGATTAAAGTGCTTTAATTGCGATAGTACTAGCTATCTACTAGGCTAATGCGACAAACCTAAGGATTAGGCCCGAATCGACTATACTACCGCTAAGCACCGAAAGCACCTTTTAGCCGCTAACGCTACCCCTATCGGTCCTTCCTATTAGTCGAAAAAAGAATAGGCGCTGCACTAACTATTAGCCTTATACGGCGTAAAACTATCGACATTATACTAGCTATTATACGTACCTGCCTTATATAGGATACGTATAGAACTAACTATAAGACTAAGGTTATGCTAGACCTAGGAAATTCAGTTAGTGCCCTTATTAGCTATCGCCTAGCTAAGTAACTAGACCTTCGATAATTAAATAGAGCTAACCTACTAACCCTTGCTTAGTTTAATAACGCTCGGCACTTAACCTATAGAGCCTACTATATTCCTATAGTTCTAAAGGACGACCTCGGAAATAAGCGCCTACTAGACTTTACTACCTATACAGTAGATATAGATAGCCTTCTATCCGATATTATTTCTAGCAACCCTATCCTTAAACACTACGCTATAACTATAGACTTAGGCCTTTAATAGTAGCGATTTAGAATCGCTAGGAAGGAGGACATTAAATATATTAATGTTAGCGAGTGCCCTAACGATATTAGGGTCCTGTTTATTAGCAACCTAATACTAGCCTCCGCCTTAGCTAACCCGACTACCGACCTACTTAGTAGTAAGGACGATAAACTAGTGCCCCCTAATAGCATAGACCCTAAATAGCTTGCTCGTATACTATAGCCTATTCGAGAGACCTATATTAATGTGTTTAAACACTATCTAGCATCGATATTGCCTATATTTAAAGGGACGGATTATAAGATTAATATTATAGAGGGTAAAGAGGTCCCCTTTAGTCCCCTCTATAACCTTAGTAAACGAGAGCTTACTATATTATATAAGTACCTAGATAAGAACCTAGCTAATAGTCGAATTCAGTATAGCAATAGCCCTGCTAGTACACTAATCCTCTTTGTCCCTAAGAAGGATAGTAGCCTACGCCTATATGTTAATTACCGTAGACTTAATACTGTTACTATTAAAGACCGCTATCTA